AAGGCTACCTTTGTCCTGAGCAGACATCTGCCTTCCCTCCTCCAGGTCAGTACTAGCCTAGCCCTCTGTGAGGGAAAGAACACACTGCTCACCTGGAACAGCCAGCTCCCCTCCTCCTCCTCACCAGCGTCCACCCGCATACCAGAGCAGCCTGGGTCTAAATCCTTTCTGTGATGATGATGCTGTTGGTGAGGGGGGCATGAGAATTGCAGGAAGGGCCCATCAGATGGTGCTTCTGACCCTCCCACATGGCAGGGGAGGTGGGAGGTAGACAGGCGACAGGAGATGAACAGCCATCCGCACTCTTCCTGCCGTGAGCACGGCAGCCAGCGACACTGCTTTCCAGCCCACTGTGTCAGACTTGGTCTGGTGGCAGAATTAAGCACATGCATGTGCGAGGGGCAGTTGGATGGGTGTGTGAGTGTGCTTCGTCGCTGAGAGCACTCCCCGAGCTCACGGGTCTGCATGAGGTTCACTCTCTCAGCTGCTTATTCATGGGTTCTCAAGAGGACTGGGCTGCACAGGTGGGCACAGTGGCCGTCCCCCGACTCCTGGACCGAAGTCCCTCTCTTGGGCGTTCTCTGCTGTGCTGGGGGAGTTGAGGGTGTTCCTGAGGTTTGAGTGTTGTAGAACTATTGGGTTTGCTGCTGAGATGGCAGGGTGGAGAGCAACGGGGGTCTCTGGGCTTTCTTCAAAAGTTCACAGGCTTTTGAACATCTTGTTTCCATCTGTGCTTGATTTGCCAGCGTCTGAGTGTCCTGAGGTCTTGTAGTGGTTCTGATATGTTACCGAAGGTCTGGGGGTTCTTGGGGGCAATATTGAGGTTGCGGGGGTTTTTAGGGCATCGCCGAAACTCAGGAATGTTGCTGAGATTCCAGAGGTGCTCTGGGAGATCTGGGAGTCTTTGGGGGGACGTTTCTGAGGTTCTGGGGATGCTGCCGGCCTTCCGCATTCCTTCTGGCCTGCTGTTAGCTTCTTCTAAGCTGAGGACTTTGCCCTTTGAGGATTTGATAATCACAGGCTGCCGAAAGCGTGCTTGGGGGCCTCTGTTCCTGGGTGCAAACATTCCTCAGGTTTAATCAACTTGAACAAAAACATGAGAGGAAGGAAATCCTGTCCGAAGGCCTTCATGGGCCAACTCCATCCGAGGGGCATAGCAGCTCTGTGCCAAGCCCAAATGGCAGATGGCTTTCATTGGCTCAGAGTCCAGAAGCTTTTAGGACCTCCTCCCATAGTGAGCAGGGCTTAGCCACCCACCATTCTGTGCCCAGTCGGGAGCCCTGCTGGCTTGAGCTGCTCCTTGGATATTGGCATCAGCCTCACCCGAGCGCCCACGTGAGCTCATGTTGGCCACAGCGAGGCAGCCCTGCTCTGACCCCTACACTACTCCCTCCTTGCCTCTCAGACTTCCTTTCTTGGCACTCCTGAGACACGGGTAGATTCATTCTTGCTACCATTCCAGATCTTCCATGGCTTCAGGGCCCCGCTCCCGGCCCCCTCCTCCAGGGAGCCTCTGAGACTGCCCAAGCCATTTCCTCCTTCTCCTCCTCACTCCTCAGGCTTTTCCCCTCCTGAGGGCGGGACTGGACCTTCCTGGGTATCAGTGCCCCTTTATTTCATTTTTTATTTCTTGACACAGAGTCTCGCTCTGTTGCCAGGCTGGAGTGCAGTGGCACGATCTTGGTTCATTGCAACCTCCGCTTCCTGGGTTCAAGCAATTATCCCGCCTCAGCCTCCCGAGGAGCTGGGACTACAGGTGCCCACCACCATGCCCAGCTAATTTTTGCATTTTTAATAGAGACAGGGTTTCACCATATTGGCCAGGCTGGTCTTGAACTCCTGACCTTGTGATCCAACCCCCCCCTTGGCCTTCCAAAGTGCTGGGATTATAGGTGTAAGCCACTATGCCCAGCCTCAGTGCCCCTTTAAAGCCAGCTCCAGAGAGCAGGCCCTCGACTCTGCTGCCCAGGCCTTTGGAGAAATTCTTCAGGGGCACATTACCACCCTTCTCTTCCTAACACTTCTTGCCTCCTGCCTTCTGGCCAGGTGGCATCTTTCCTAACAGCTCTGAGCCAAGTGTCCCATTTTGCAGACAGGAACTCCAAGCGATTCTAGCCCCAAGCTGAGGAGGTGACTTGGGCTCAAGAAGTGCGCTCAGACTTGCAGCGTGAGCTACTTGGCCACCCACTCTCCATGGATCTTCAACCCAGCCTGCCCCCCTGCCCCCACCAAACTGGGCAGGGGAGCAGGGGGCCGGGGGGGCAGGTGGGAGGCAATGGGGGCACCTAGGAAGTCACGCCACTCTCTGTGGTTTTGACCTTCTTGTTACAATTGGTGACTGGTGTTGGGGTGGAGGGTGGCGCCATGATGATTTGACACAGGCTGGTGAGACCCACAGAGGGGAAAAAACTCACTCAAGGCCACACAGCCAGTCCCAGGGCTCAAATCCAGCTAGATGGCCTCCCCAGGCAGGCATTCTCCACTGCCATGCAGAAACCTGGCCCTCACCTCTGGACCTTCCAGCCCTGCCCTGGCCAAATCACCGGGCACAAGGCTGCCCTCTGCTTGCTAGGCCACCCAGGGGAAAAGGACAAAATTCGCCATTTCCTCTCCTCTGTGTTGGGCCTCCCTTGGTGGCCTCTGCGTCTCCCCAAGAGGAGGGAGGTGGTTTTGTTGGCACTGGGCTCTCCGGGGGGGACGGGGAAGGGACTGTGCCTGGGCTGGGTGGGTTCCCGTTCTGCCAGCCTGGCTGCAGCCCCTGGGCGGATGAAGCCTCCTTCAGGCAACCTGATCGCCTTTCCTCAGTGCCTGATATGGTTTGGATGTGTGTCCCCTCCAAATCTCATGCTGAAATGTGACCCCCGGTGTTGGAAGTTGGTTTGTGGTATTTACATCATTGCGGTGAATCCCTCCTGAATGGCTTGGTGCCCTCCGCGCGGTAATGAGTGAATTCTCGCTCCATCAGTTCATGCGAGAGCTGGCTGTTTGCAAGCGCCTGGCATCTCTCCCGCTCCCTCACTAGCCGTGTGTCCTGCCTGACCCCCCTTCACCTTCCACCACGATTGTAGGTTTCCTGAGGCCCTCCCCAGAAGCAGATGCTGGTGCCATGCTGCTTCCTGCATAGCGTGGAGAGCTGTGAGCCACAGAAACCCCTTTTCCTTATAAGTTACCCGGAGTCTCATTTTCCTCTAGAGCAACGCAGGACAGATGAACATAGCACCCCGCCAGGTACCTCCCTCTCTCCCCTGAGGTATCAGTGACATATCACCCTCTCAGTGAGGCCTTCCCTGACCTCCCTGTCTCAAACAGCCAACGCCTGTCTGTCTCTCTTGTCTTCCCCACTTCACACCCCCTCTCGAGTCATCTCCCCCAGGCCCTATCACACATCAGGTCCCATGGGGTGCGGGGCTTGACCCATCTTGCTTGCTGCCAAACCAGCCCGGGGAAGGCAGAGCTGGGCTTCCTTCAAGGAAGAGCCTGGTTTCTGTTGGCAAGGCCGTCTAAGCCCGGACGCCACTGCCTTGCAGAGGAAGTGGGCTCCCTGTCTGGAACTGGACTCCGATGGTTGGAGGTGGATTTAAAATCAGATGGGAGTTGGTTGCTCCCTAGGGTAAGGATCTGACACCCCTTGCTGGGCTATGGGAAGCCCAGCTGGTGAACCCCAGGACACAGCAGCAGCCTGTATAGGACAGGCCCACGGACAACCACTGGCCGCCAGAACAAGCAATGGCTCTGCCAAGCTCAATTTCTGCAGTCCGTCTTACCCGAGGGTCAGGCGCTGTGCATCAGGGGAAGGCAGGAGGAGGGGCGGGAGGGGCCTGGAAGCCAAGCTTCCCGCATCCTTGGGATCAGAAGGGCCAGTGTGGGCTCCTGCATTACATCAAATAAAGCTCGGGGTCAGCTCTGAGTCAGCAGACGCTGGTACCTCTGTGGGATGGTGGAGAGCTACAGAGCTCTCTTCCTGCCAGAAGAGCCATTTGGGAAGAAGGGGGAGGAACTCAGGCTAGCGGAGAGCTCAGGCCCTAATCCTGCCCTGTGGGCTTGGGAATTTGAATGAGAGCCTCCAGGATTTCAAGCCCTGTCTACTCTTGAGACTTCGCCCTTACTGTTCCCTCTGCTGGGAACACCCCACCCCACCCCCATCCCGAGCCTGCCACCCTCTGCTCAGCTGACTTTCCCCTGCCCTCTGGGTCACCACGAAATGGTTATTTTCTTCAGGAGTCTCCCCCTACCCCCAAATACTCTTGGACTAAATTCGGTTTCCCATGGTACAGACCAGCTCACCTCTGCTTCCCTTTGCAACCCTCAGGCTTTGGAGGGGATTTACTTACCTGGCCCTGGCCCCCCTGAACTATAATCTCTCATGCCCCAGGGCTTAGAACAGTGTTGGCCCGTAGTAGGTGTTCAATAAATTTAAGTTAAAAGACTGACTGACTGACTGACTGGCTGAATGAATGAATGAATAAATGAATGTCTTTTTTAAAAAAGCTGTTGAGGCCAGGCGCAGTGGCTCACGCCTGTAATCCCAGCATTTTGGGAGGCCGAGGCGGGTGGATCACCTGAGGTCAGGAGTTTGAGACCAGCCTGGCCAACATGGTGAAACCCAGTCTTTATTTTTAGGGGAAAAAAAAAAAAAGCGCTTTTGAATGACTGTCTTAGCTGGTAGGGCCACAGCCCAAGCCCCTTGTAGGGTATCAGAAGGACAGAGACCCTCACAGTTTCAGGGGCCTAAACCTCCACCAGGGACAGAGTCCTGAGAGCTGCTTTCTACCTTCTCCTGTGTCTCACCCCCACCTTCAGGTTGGGGCAGGGGTCCTGCTCCTGGGGAGGGAGGATGGGGAGCGGTCCTCCACCCTAGCCCAGACCTTGCCTTGCTCACCCTCAACTTCAACCCAGGAGGAGCAGGAGGCAGGCGGGGCTCCTCTTGCCTACCCGTGGTTCTGGTTTGTGTTTAAAGAGCTGATTTCCGCCTTGTGGGGGTGAGTTATCTCCTTGTGAAATCAAGTTGTAGGAACAAAAAGGGTTTACCAGTGAGACACATGTTGCCTCCTTCATGGAAATCCTAGGAGAAGGAACAGACAGACACCCCCTCCCTGCCTCTGCCCCAGCCCAGCCCCAGCCGTGGGTCTCCCGCGGTGGTGGCTGTCTGCTGGACTCCTGTCTGTGTGGGGCACTGCAGAGGTGGCGGGCGGAGGCGTGGGAGCTCTGGGGCAGGCGCTGAAGGCAGGTATGTGTGCCAAGTCAGGTGCGGGGGTGGGGGCGGCTCCTGGCCACACCCTTGCAGGGCTCAGGCTGCCAATGGTGCTGGGGCCTCCTCCCCCAGCAGGGGGGCTTTGTCAGGGATTATGGTGTGTTTCCATCGCCCAGGCCCAAAGGGGCCAGAAAGGGGAGGCTGAGGCTGGGGGAGGGGCTCAAGGGAGTCCAGCTGGGAGGGCTCAGGCCTGCAGTGTGGAACGGCCCGTGGCCTGCCTACCGGCTCATCTCTGCAGCTCCTTCCTCCCTGGGCCGCCCTCTGGTGTGTCTGTGGGTCTGTCTAGGTGGGCTTGGGGAGGGGGAAGGAAGAGGCGTCTCTGCAGGCAGCTCAGACTGGGCAAGGCTTCTTTGAAAATGGTCCCTGGAACAAACGCCTGCTGGAGGTGGGTCAGACAGACAGATGCACCAGCAGGAGCCCCGGGGCCCCAAGGGGACAACTATCTCTGTAGGGCCGGTGCGATGGGCGGGAAGGGAGGAGGGGACACGAGAGGCCCTCTCCTCCTCCTGTGCCAGCTTGCTCAGGCCCTCAGTCCCAGACGGGCTTTTCCCAGAGAGCTAAAAGTAAGAAAGTAACCTTTCGGATTAAAGAGAAATGTTTCTTTGTTTGGGTTTTCGGTCTTTTTTTTCCCTCTCTCTTTTAAGCCTCTTTTCACATCTGTAGTGGCTTTTTTTCCTCTAGTCTGGGGTCAAAAGAGAGGGGCCGGAGAATGGCGTCCCAGCCAGCAGGGAACCAGACCTCCCCCGGGGCCACAGAAGACGACTCCTATGGCAGCTGGTACATCGATGAGCCCCAGGGGGGCGAGGAGCTCCAGCCAGAGGGGTAAGTGTGGGATCCCCCACCTCACTCTGTCAGCCGGCAGAATGGGGTGTGGCAGAGGTTGCAATTGGCCAGGGGGCAGCTCCTGGGCAGCAGCTGCTAGGACTGGCTCTGCCACTCGTTTGCTGTGTGACCCTGGGCAAGTCAGAGCCTCTCTGGGGCCCATTCAGTCTCTGCATCTGGTACAGAAAAACAGCACCCCTCACCCTGCTGTTAAGATGCTTAAGACGGTGGCTCACGCATGTAATCCTAGAACTTTGGGAGGCCGAGGTGGGCAGATCACGAGGTCAGGAGTTCAAGACCAGCCTGGCCAACACGGTGAAATCCCGTCTCTACTAAAAATACAAAAATTAGCTGGGCGTGGTGGCAGGCACCTGTAGTCCCAGCTACTTGGGAGGACAAGGCAGGAGAATCACTTGAACCTGGGAGGTGGAGGTTGCAGGGAGCTGAGATCGTACCACTGCACTCCAGCCTGGGCAACAGAGATAGACTCTGTCTCAAAAAAAAAAAAAAAAAAAAAAAACAAAAAAAACCAAGATACTTCAGGCTGATCACCTAAAAAGCACCTGTGTGATGTGTTAAAAATGCAGATTCCTGGGCCCTAGCCTTGTGGATTCAGATCCCTCAGATCCACAGGGATGGCTCCCTGGGTGATTCTGGCCCATAGCCAGGATGGGGAAGCTTCTGGGAGTAGTCAAAGCAAGCAGACCTGCCTTCGAGGGGTTACTGGTCGCTGCCCCGAGCATTTGGATGTGGTGTTTCCAAGTGTCAGGTTCTCTGGACAGCCTGGGGGACTCCGGGGAGGCAGAGAACCCAAGGGAGAAAGCCTGGGGAGAAGTCATGGAGGAAATGTGCATGCTTGTTGTCTTTGGATGGTCTCAGAGGATGAGGAGAGCCTATTCCCTTTAGCAAGAGTGCTCAGGCCAGCCCAGGGACTGGGGAGGCGGCCTGCCCCCGGGTGGCCTGAGGACCCAGCCACAACTGCTTCGTCCAGATCCATTCTATCGGGGTTTAGTCTGGGCACCCTAGTGGAGGAGCTGGGCCTTCTGTGTCCACCACGTCCTGCCAGGATGTCTTGCCTGTGGAGGATTAGAGCCAGCTCTCTCCCCTGTTGTTCCCGGGCCTGGCCCATCCCCTGCCTCCCTGCTCTGGTTTGGAGAAGAGGAAAGGTGAGGCTGGGGATTGCTGAGCCAGATATGTGCACATCTGTTCTCCATCAAAACCTGAAACTTGAGAAGGAAAAATCCTTGCGTGCCTCCCCAGGGGCTGGGAGCTCCACCCAGGCCTGGGGGAAGAAGCTGTTGTTTGCAGGACTCAGGGTTCTGACCACCTGGAAGCTAGCCTGCACTCAGCCAAGGCATGCTCCCCACCGCGGGCTCGGCACGTCCTGCTGTGTTTGTGTGGGCTGCGCGGGACCAGAATGGGGAGAGGCCCAGGAACCCATGAGGATGGCCTCTGACCTAGGTGAAGGCTCTAATCGGAAGCTGTGTCCTGGGGAGCCTCAGGGCCCAGGCACTGGCCAGGGGCCAGGTGCCTGCAGCCTGCTCTGCAGTTGTAGTCTCAGAATAAAGTTATGTGTATGTCAGGCACTGGGTGATGAGGAGTCCCGTCCCATGTGTGTAACATCTAGAAGATTCAGCTCCTTTCTCCCACTGCAGGGCATGGCACCCATAAGAATAAAGAGATTTGTTTGAATCTACTTACTCAGCCAAACCAAGCTGAGCCTCCCACCACCCCCCTGCCCCCAAAGGCAGGAACAGAAAATTGGGAGCTCAGGGAAATCCCAAGGAGATGAACTTGGGTTCACCTCTGTCTGTGTGAGTCAGACGCCCGGGGCACATGGTGCATCAGAGCTTTGAAGAGCTCTGGAGTGCCCAGTGCCCAGCACTCTCAGGCTGGAGTTGGGGTGGATGAGCAGTGGAATCAGCCACAGAAATTTCCTAAAATCCGGAACAGGTGGTCAGAACCCTCAATGGCTCAGACACCCTCAGTGGCTTCCCAGGGCCTCCCATGCTTGCTGCAACCTCATCTCACCTGACCTCTGGGCTGCAATCAACCTGGAAGTCTTGCCCGGCCCCATCCATGCTGCTTGTCGCCTGCCCCTCTGCTTCCTCACGCTGTTCCCTCCACCTGGAGCTGCTGTTCCCATTCTTTGCCTGAAGAGCTGCTAACTGTCTTTTATTTATTTATTTTTTGAGATGGAGTCTCGCTCATGCTGCCCAGGCTGGAGGGCAGTGGCGCGATCTCAGCTCACTGCAACCTCCGCCTCCAAGGTTCAAGCGATTCTCCTGCCTCAGCCTCTTGAGTAGCTGGGATTACAGGCGCCCACCATGATGGCCTGGCTAATTTTTTTGAATTTTTGTTGTTGTTGTTGTTTTGAGATAGAGTCTTGCTTTGTCACCAGGCTGGAGTGCAGTGGCATGATCTTGGCACACTGCAACCTCCACCTCCCGGGTTCAAAAGATTCTCCTGTCTCAGCCTCCTGAGTAGTTGGGATTACAGGTGTGCGCCACCACACCAGGCTAATTTTGTATTTTTAGTAGAGATGGGGTTTCTCCATGTTGGTCAGGCTGGTCTTGAACTCCCAACCTCAGGTGATCTGCTTGCCTCGGCCTCACAAAGTGCTGGGATTACAGGTATGAGCCACTGCGCCCAGCCACTAACCATCTTTTAAACTCCAATCAGATACCACCTCCTCTTGCTCAAAGTTCTTCCTCTGTGTCCTTCAGCGCCTGCTTGTGCCTGTCCCAGGATCAAGCTCACCCCCCTCCCTGAGGTCTTTGTATCTATGCCATCCTGCCTGTCCAATGGCACAAAACATGGGCCCACAAGCCACTAGCCAAACATTTGCTCATTACTGTGCCACCTGACGTCCCCATCTGACCTCTCACACTGAGCTGAGGGGTTGGATGGGGACCTCAGGTGGTACAGAAAGGGCCAGGAGCTCCCCCAGGCAGGGCTCTGGAGGGCGTTTCTGGTGGTAGGGGTAGCTTGGGGTGGGGTTCCTAAGAAAATGGTCAAAATACTCCAGGGACAGTTTGCCAAGTCCCTGCTGGGCCCAGGTGTCCAGGGTAGAGCAGGACTCAGTCAGGCGGGGAGATGCAGGCTTCGAGGGAGGGCTGCCCTGCACACTGGAGTGAGAGGTCTCGGGGCGGCAGGTGGGAAGCCTGAGACTGAGTGCCCACATGGGAACCTGCCCCCTGTGTGGCAGCTATTCCGGAGCCCAGTCACACTTTGGGAAGAGGCTGGTTTCCTGGCCAAGAAGCTGCCCAGAGCTGACTTATTCTGCCTTTCCACCAAGTGACTGATTTCTTTCCCACCGCTCACAGACCGAGCTGACCCATCAGAGGGTCCCAGGGCTCTGAGCTCCCCTGTATAATACAGCCTTGATGCCTCCCTTCACACAGTGGAGGGTGCGCCGGCGGGTGGCTGAACCCTCTGGGCAGGCAGGGACTGGCTGCAGCCCAGGCTCTATCTCAGGCCCTCGACCACCAGACCCCACCAGCCTCACCCATGCTGCCATCCTCCCTTCTGGCTCTCCCAGGCCCAAGCTGGGAAAACCCAGAGCTCCACTGCTCCCTAGGGACCCAGTTCTGCCTGCTGTCCCAGGGCTAGGGCTCAGAACTCCTGCCTCACTCCCTTTCTCTGCCGCATGATTCTGCCAAGGAAGTGGAGGGTTTCACCGTCTATAGTGGCCTCTGTCTCCACCGTGGGCTCACTTCTGTGCTCAGCCAGGGTGTGCGCAGGACCTCTGCCAGGCCATAGGGAGCCTCTGTGGAACTGGAAAACGGGATCCCCACTTAGGTGCATTCAACTCAGCAGGTGCTGGGTTTGGTGAGCAGCATGGCCTGGATCTCAGACCACACTTGACCCCTTGGCTGAGCATCTTTGTGCAGTGGGCAACCTGCATGGCTGTCCATGGACGCTGTCAATGAGACGGAAGCGGGAAAAGAGGGGGACCATGGGAGATCATTTTAGTCACAGGCCAGTCTCAGATGGCAGCAGGCAGAGGGCAAAGCAGAGGGCCAAACTCTTGACTGCTTGACCCAGGTCATGTGTTCAACCGCAGTTCTGAGAAGAGATCTGTGAGGCCAGGAGCAGTCAGAGGGGTTTCCTGGAGAGGGGAGGCCTTGAAGGACAGGAAGCATCTAGGTGAGCAAGAATAAGCACTCAGCTGGGCACAGTGGCTCACACCTGTAATCCCAGCACTTTGGGAGACTGAGGTGTGAGTGAGGACTGATTGAGCTCAGGAATGCAGGACCAGCCTGGGCAACATGGTGAGGCCCTGTCTCTACTAAAAATAGAGAAAAAAAAATGCCAGACATGGTGGTGCACACCTGTGGTCCCAGCTACTCAGGAGGCTGAGGCTGGAGGATCATTTGAGCCCTGGAGGCTGAGGCTGCAATGAGCTGCGATCGAACCACTGCACCCCAGCCTGGGTGACAGAGCAAGACCTTGTCTCAAAAAAAAAAAAGAAAGAAAGAAAGAAAAAGAAAGAAGTGATCAGACCAAGCCAGTCCACTGAGCTTTCCCCGGGAGCCTCCTGTCTCCTTAGTCCTATAACTCCAGAGCTTGGCGTGGGGCCGCACATCACGGGGACACCAGGGCCCCAGAATGACCCTGAGAAGGTGAGGCTGGGAAGGCTTGTGTAGGAGGCATCAGAGGGTTGCCTCAGTGTGGACAGTCTTGAATCCCAGACCCATCTACACACCCACAGGGGCCTGACGCAGGCCTGACCCAGCCTTCATTTGCTCTGCAGGGAAGTGCCCTCCTGCCACACCAGCGTACCACCCGGCCTGTACCACGCCTGCCTGGCCTCGCTGTCAGTGAGTCCCACCCAAGTTGAACCTGGCTTGCAAGCTGCTGCCAGCCTGGGCAGTGGGACCTGGGTTCTCCACTGGGGCTGGTGAAGGGGGGCCCTGGGAGATCCTGGTTTGGGGGAGCTATCTGGGAGTTCTCTCAGCTTGGGGGCCCAAACCAGGAAGCAAGTCCTACCTCCCAGGTGTCTGTCACCTCTTGACCAGTCCCCAAGATGCCACGTGAGTGTGCACTGGTCAGGCAGAGGATGTCCTGGGGTCTGAGTCCAGGCCCTCACACTCAGACCCTCACGGGAGGCCTGGGCACGGCAAGCTCTCCTCTGTGCTCTCCTTTCAGATCCTCGTGCTGCTGCTCCTGGCCATGCTGGTGAGGCGCCGCCAGCTTTGGCCTGACTGTGTGCGTGGCCGGCCCCGCTTGCCCAGGTTGGTGCCATGGCCTGGGCACCCCTACTCAGGGGGCCCAGCTGACAGGGTCACTCTGGGAGGGTGGGTGCTTTGTTAGGTACCTAGAAGGCAGCTCTGGCTTCAATGTCACCCCTGCCTGCCTCTGCCTGGGGCTTTCCTCATCTCCACCCAGGTCTCCGGGTTTAGTCAGGACCCCCAGAGGAAGGGGGAGGGACTCGCTCAAGCCCGCCTGGGAGAAAGGACTCCAACCCAGGCCCTAGGGAAACAAGCCCGACGGGACCCAGCTTCAGAGTATAGCTTCTCAGGCAGCCGGCCCTTCATGTGTGGACTGACCGTGACCATCCCAACACCATCTTGACCCTCACCTTCCCTGAGAGTATCACCTGGACCCTAATGCTTGAAGGCAGATTTATGGGAACTGACCTCTATCCCCTATAGCTGGAACTTACTTTCTTTCTTTCTTTCCTTCCTTCCTTCCTTCCTTCCCTCCATCCCTCCCTCCCTCTCTCCCTCCTTCCCTCCCTCCCTCCCTTCATTCCTTCCTTCCTTTCTTTCATTCTTTCTTTCCTTTCTTTCTTTCTTTCTTTCTTTTTTTGAGATGGAGTCTTGCACTGTTGCCCCGGCTGGAGTGGCTCAATCTTGGCTCACTGCAACCTCCGCCTTCTGGGTTTAAGCAATTCTCCTGCCTCAGCCTCCTGAGTAGCTGGGATTAACGCCCACCACCATGCCCGGCTAATTTTTTTGTATTTTTAGTAGAGACACAGTTTCACTATGTTGGGCAGGCTGGTCTCAAACTCTTGACCTCATGATTCACCTGCCTCAGCCTCCCGTAGTGCTGGGATTGCACACATGAGCCACCGCGCCTGGCCTAACTGGAACTTTCTTTTCCTGTCTCCTTCAACCCTGTGACCCCAGAGTCTGGGACAGGCATGATCCTGAAGAGATGGGGCTGGGCAGGCTGGTCACGAGAGACCAGAGGGTTGGGGCAGGTGATGGGTGTCTCCCTGGTATAGACAGCTTCGCATCCCAGACCCAGACTGTACCGAGGCAGGTCTTGCTGTGCTGGTTTTGTGGGGAACCAGCCTAGGGTCTCCAGGTGGCCCTGAAAAGAGCTTACCCTGGCTGGGGGGGTGCTTGAGGGAGAATGAAGCTCTCAGAGCATGAGTGCAAGCTGCAGTGCAAAAGCCGAGGGTCTGAGTGGCTTGCCCTGAGCCCAGAGGGGTGATGCCTGGGACAGCTGTGCCCGCTGTCTGCCCTCTGCCCCGGCTCCACACCCAGCCCAGGGTGGTGGCCGTCGTACAAGGATGTTATGACTCGCTGAGTTCTCTGAAGGTTTGCCAGCCCAGACAGACATACCAGTTAATGTGGAGGTGGCTGCTTCCTGGAGCTTCCAGGATGGGCGGAGAGAGCAGTCCTAGGGCTTGTTCCCACTGCACGTGTATCCCAAGTCCCTTTAGCAAAGGGCTCGGGACTTGGTACATAAGAGGCACTCCACTAATATCTATGGAATGAATGAATGAAGGGGACTCCCCCAACCAGAAAGTGGGACTGACTCCACCTCCTAGGTTTATGGAACACAGCCTGGAGGTAAGGGGGGTGCAGGGGCTGAGCAACTCCCTCCTGCCCTGTCCCTGCCTCTGTGCTAGCCCTGTGGATTTCTTGGCTGCGGACAGGCCCCAGGCAGTGCCTGCTGCTGTCTTCATGGTCCTCTTCAGCTCCCTGTGTTTGCTGCTCCCCGACGAAGACCCGTTGCCCTTCCTGACCCTCACCTCGCCACCCAGCCCAGGTACGCACTGCCCCCAAGGTCTTGGAGTTGGTGTGATGGGATGGGGATAGGGTGGGGTCTTGGAGTTTTAAGCTTGGCTCAAGGAAATGAGGGTAACAGGAACAGCTGTCAATGAGATGGGCTGCTCTCCTGAGACATGACCTCTTCAGATCATCCAGTCTTTACGGCGACGCCACAAAGTATGCATATTAGCCCCATTTTGCAGTGGAGAAACTGAGGGCCAAGGAAATAGCATCTTAAATTGAATATTTCCTCAGGCACCATGCTGAGCATTATGTGTACACCTTGTCATTTTGCCTGTACTACTATACTGTGATTTTTTTCCATTTTACAGATGGGAAAACTGAGGCTCCAAGAGGTAAGCTGACCAAGTGTCACAGAGTTGACCAAGGGTTGACCAAGAGTCACAGAGTTGTGTAGGGTCCTAAAGGGTCCTTTGAGCCCCTCCCTGCTCGTGCAGAGATGAGAAACTGTACAAATAAAAGACACAGACACAGAGATAGCGAAGAGAGTTTGGGCCCGGGGGTCCACTACCAGCCAAAGCACGGAGTCCAGCAGTGGCCCCGAGCTCCTGGACGCTCTGACTTTTATTGAGTACAAAGCAGTGAGCAGGGAAGGCAGGGTGAGGTACTGGTGGTCAGTGACAGGGTCAGGTAAATTACGTGTCTTGGTGACAGGGGTCCCAAGACTTTCGAGTAGCCGAGGCAAGGGAAAAAGCTAATGCGTCAGCGCTCTTCGCATATTTGTCAAAAATATCAAGGACACTAAGATTATGTTACTATTATTAATTCTGATCTTCCGAGAAAAAGGGAAACCAGGTGCAGAAGCAGGGTGGGAGAGTAGCCATGGAACATGACCGCTGGAGCACAGCATCACATAGAGATAGTTAAGCCCCTGGATGTCTGCGGGCCTACCTGACAGTCATCAGGCCTACCACAAGAGCTTGGAGGAGCGGCGTTTTCTCCAAACTTCCCCAGGAAGGAGATGTCTTGGCCATTTTGGACGTCTTCTTCCCTAGCTGGCTAAACAGCGGTGCTTTCCCAGCGCTGGCGCTGCCGCCCAGCCGAGGCACCCTCCAGCAGCCCTCATGTGGGCGTGACAGAGGGCTCAGAGCAGCTTGCCTTAGGATCACTTTGTTCACAATGTCACCTCGGTTCCATGCTTCATACCCCGATAGTCACTAGTAAAATCAAAGGTTATATTGAGTATATATCTTTATGATTCTAAGTGAGTAACTCTAAGATTATATATGATTATATAAAGGAATAACTGTGTGCCTACATTTCTAATTCTTTTCTAAATCAATATTATATGAGAACAGGCTGAGGCTTCAGACCTCTGTCACGGCACTTGTGGGGTTTCCTCTCTTCAGATTTGACAGTAGTCAGGCCTGGATTTGAACCGACGGCTCTTGCCCACTGAATATGCTGAATGTCTTGGAAGCTGGAGACAGGAGAGAGTCCTGGGTGGGCTCACTGCAGGCCCCATGTCTGCCCTTCCAGCATGGGTCTCTCTGCTTGTTTCACCTTCCAGGATCCTGGAAGATGCTGGGCCTGCTCTATTACACTGCCCTCTACTACCCACTGGCCGCCTGTGCCACGGCTGGTCACAGAGCTGCACACCTGCTTGGCAGCACGCTGTCCTGGGCCCACCTCGGGGTCCAGGTCTGGCAGAGGGCAGAGTGTCCCCACACTCCCAAGGTAACGGCTGATCACAATGGCCTAGAGCAGAGGGGCGCACAGAACAGCCTGCTCAAACCAGGGGGCTTCTTTGAGCGCTGATTCTATGACAGGCGGCCCTGCAGCCTGCCGCTGCATGTGGGATTCCACGCCTTCAAACACGTGCCCCTTCCAAGCGGGGCTGCTCTGCGGGAGAGGCAGGGAACAAGGCGCCTGGGCCCAGCCCTCAGAAGGTTTCAGTCTAGGAGGGGGCAGAGAAGGGGAAGGGGGCAGAGTAGGAGGAAGAGAAAGCCTGAAATGCCCCCACCCCTTACTCCTGTGTCATTGATTCCTCAGCCTCCCTGGGATCAGGCTGGAGAGGGTATGGACACGAAGTGAGATGGAAGCTGGCAAGTGTGGAGTCAGAGATGGTCTCAGAGGGCTAAGAGGAGGATTCCAGAACCTCAGAACCCTGTTCACTGGCTGCTGGCTGGGGCTGTGAAGCTGTCCAGCCTAGAACCCAAAGAGTGATGGTATAGGCTTTAGAGCCAGGCAACCTGAGTGTGAATCAAGCTTCACCTCTTCATTCATTCACTCACCCATTCATTCAGCAACATATCTGAGACACATACCCTGCACCAGGGACATTTCCAGGCACAGGACTATAGCTGTGGACAAGATAAACGCAGTCCGTAGCCTCCCAAGAGCTGTCATTCCAGAAGGGGAGACACAATACACAGACAAAATGATGCCAGGTGGTACCAAGTGCCCTGGGGAAACAGTGCCACCTTTCTTAGACTGTTTCTTCATCCGCCCATGGAGCTGATAACACCAATCCCTCTGGGTGGAGGTAAAGACTAGGAAGCTGCTTTGATAGGGGCCACTTGGTGGCTGGATGCGGTGGCTCATGCTTGTAATCCCAGCACTTTGGGAGGCCGAGGTGGGCAGATCAAGAGGTCAGGAGTTCGAGACCAGCCTGGCCAGCCTGGTGAAACCCCATCTCTACTAAAAATACAAAAATTAGCCAGGCATGGTGGCAGGTGCCTGTAATCCCAGCTACTAGGGAGGCTGAGGCAGGAGGATCGCTTGAACCTGGGAGGCGGAGGCTGCAGTGAGCCAAGGCCATGCCGTTGCACTCCAGCCTGGGCAACAGAGCAAGACTCTGTCTCACTAAAAAAAAAAAAAAAAAAAAAGAAGAAGAAGAAGGGGGACCTGGTGGCTCTTTTTCACCACCTAGAATAGAACCTGGTACATACTAAGTTCTCAATAAAAGTATATTGAACCAAAAGATAAATAAATGAGTATACAAAAGGCCCACTCCCAGGAAGGCCTCAGCCCTGGGAAGCAGGGCATAGCCTTTCCCGATGCCCAGGTTGAAAACTATATGTAGGCACAGGCAGGCGTTGGTGTGATTTTCAGAACTGTTCCTAATGTTCTGGGAACACAGAAACAGAAAGTGGTGTCCCTTCCAGGCCTTATTCCAGCCTTGGTCAGGGAGACATGTGGTGGGAGCTGGAGAGAATCAGAGGATCAAGTGACCTCCTCCTCTTGGCTGCCCTGAGGCCTGTGTGGGTCCAGGAGCCTGGGGGAGGGATGAGCATCTCTGCAGAGCTCAAGAAGGGGAGGTGGGCAGGTTTGTGCTGGGTAGCAGGTTGGGAACCATAGTGCTGAAGCCTTCCCTTGTCCCCACACCCCCCACCCCAGACCATTCTCAGGGCCAAGTACGAGGTGGGAAGGGCATTGGGTTCTGGTTCTTGCCTGGGGGAAGAAAATGGAAGGTAGTCTTCTGTGTGTTTGTCCGTCCAGGTCTACAAGTACTACTCCCTGCTGGCCTCCCTGCCTCTCCTGCTGGGCCTCGGATTCCTGAGCCTTTGGTACCCAGTGCAGCTGGTGAGAAGCTTCGGCCACGGGACAGGAGCAGGCCCCAAGGTAAAGGGGCAGGCCTGGGATGAGCTCTTCCTCAGTACTCAAGACAGCCCGAAGCTCCCATTTCTGTGGTCCCAGATACATGGCTGTGCTTGGTGTAGGGCCCAGCACAGAACAGATGCTCAGAAAATGTTTGCTGAGTGATTGCTTAGCCCTCCCTCCCCAGGCAAAGGCTGGGCCGGGCCCTAGACTGCACCCAAGATACCCATGACACTGAGCTGTGTGAATAGTAGGGACTCCACAAAGCAGAACTGAGTCAGAAGACAGGAGAGTCATAGCTCTGTCTGTGAAACGCTGAGATCTGGCCGGAGAGACAGCCTGGAGCCTTGTGTGTAATCCCAGTTCTGCACATACTGAGATGATTCAGGAAGTGCCCAGGGCAGAACTGCATTATGAATCAACTCTAGGTTGGGTATGGTTGAAGAATTTCAGATAAATGGGAGGGCTGGGAGGGCTTCCTAGAGGAGGTAGACTTTAGCAAGGGCCTGAACGACGGAGAATCCAGAGTGAGGACAGAATAAGGAGAAGGCACAGGAAAGAGCATGGGTAAAGAGGAACAGATGGTTTTGTGTCTGTTTTGTTCA